GCTTATTATGAATTTTTAAAATGATTGTTCCTACTTGTTCATTTCTAAAACGCACTTATTAAGATCAGCTCATTTTCCACTTTTTATTCATTTTTTTATATTCATAATTTTATGTGCAGCTAATTATGAGCAAAGCTTTTCGAAGCCTATTGATTTTTGAATTATTTTGACTTTACTACTTTGCATAATAAATAATTCAATTAGCCAACATGCTTTCTTACGTAAACCGGTTTTTTTATCAGTCCTTGGCGCCGAAATATTGTTTATTTTAGCTCCCTTGTCTCACCTCATTTGCTTAGGGGCAGCTTTATACATTAAGCAATCACGAAAACCCACTGAATTTAAAACGTATTTATGATTATATACTCGAAACAAAATAATTAATAAATTTTAGCGCTCGCCTCATAACTTATCCTCAGATTTATGTCAAACAATTATGCAGTACTTTTTGGGAAAATCTATTGCCTTATTTTTTTTCAAATATTTTCCATTCGGAACTTCCTATTTATCTATTTTTCGCAACATCTTTTTAGGCTTATTTTAATTCGAATCTTATTGGCTCAGTTACTGATTTAGTGTTTCTATTCCTTTGTGATTATGCGAATTGTAGATTAGATTTCCTTTCTTTTGTTTACAACAATTCTCATACACCTTAAATTACATTACATTGTTTCCAATACTTTCAAACATTTTGGTAGCAAAACCTATTTTTCTATTAGGAAAACTTGATGAAAACGTGCCAACTACCTCTTGGCAACAGAATTTTGCCCCATTATTTTCTCCTACATTTGGTATCCTCGCTGCTTAACATCTTAATATAGGCATCATTTGGACAATTATTTTTTACACAAAACTAAATAATTAGCTAGTAGTCATTTATATAGAACATAAACTTTCGATTTTACCTTGGGGCCAGGCCCATTTTTTGATATTATCTTCGGCCCCATCCTTACTGCAACAATTCATATCTTTTCAGCCCATCTCTTTCTTTGATCTTACGAATTTACATGATGCTTGACGTGTTATTTGCCTAAGTTGATACATAACTTTTATTTGCTGTATTCATAATATTGTAGTTTTATAAATTCGCTATTTTTATTTATAACCTAGACCAAAACAGATGCTTAAATTGAATCTGCTTATATGATAATGCTAATTTCCTTCAATAACTTATGGCGATTGAAACACAGTGGAAGGGCATTTTTTACCCTGGTACTACTTAATACATCTCTTCATTCCCTAGAAAATATTATATATATATATATATAATATTTAGTATTTCGTAAATGCTATATTTGATAATAACGAAATAAAATAACTATACACATGAAATTGTTGCTGATCTATTCAATGCTTTTTTACATAGTTAAACGATAATTAACTCAATATTTTTTTTTCTCCGTCGTGCAATTTCCCGTTTATTCTTTCTTATATGAGTTAACTATGACTTTGTGACATGCATGTTTGAAACTGGGTGATAAGTGGAAAAATAATTAAAAATTTTTTAAAATAACCGGACATTGAATTCCTGTGCTCGGTTGAATTTTACCAACTGCCAATTATTCAGACCCCTCGGTAGACGGCCAACAGGATTACAAAGCAGTTAGCATTTGATCATCTTAAAATAATTTTGCATGAGTAATATTTAAGAAGTAAAAGCGGGTTTCGATTAATTTCCTTAGACAACATTATTGTAGAGACTTTTATTTCGTTCAAAGTGCGTGAGGAAGAGATTTTTAGGTCGATGGCATCAGAAGACTAAGACTGATTCCCGTTATGTGGCCGTTTGGCTTTGCTATGACCTTTCGGTTGATGCAATCCACGAGACATCTTCTCTCGTTTCAAGAAAAACCGAACGAGCCTTCGTCAATCATATGACAGACGTCATCAGGCCTGGAATTCATTCTTCTTGACTTAATATTAACTTGAGAGATTAACGAATTAGAAATATTTAGAATGCTGGTCTACAAGCACCAAGCAAACCACATTAGGGATTTTCTTGCTATATCTTATTATTTTTCATAAGTCGGCTATCGTATTCCATGACATTCTTTTTTAATTATTCGTTTTATTCTTGCTCTTGATTACAAGCCTGAATCTCATCTATTCTCTCATATATTTACACTTGCAGGTCGTTGAGGTAAATGGAATTGAGGTCCGTGGTAAGTCTCTTGATCAGGTAACTGATATGATGGTGGCAAATAGCTCGAACCTGATAATTACAGTTAAGCCGGTCAACCAGAACACTTGTCTCCCGCCTCGCAGACAGGCTCAATCGGGTCCTCTTGGCAGCATAGGCTCTCCGATTTATGGGGGGGGGAACAGCACTGAACCTTTAAGAACTGGGCTCTCATCTGGCCCTCAACGAAACAGTGGTCGCAATGCTCCCTCTGGTTTCGTTGGAGGGATGAGCTCCAATCATAAACTTCATTCTCCCACCTCCGATATCGCTGCTTCTCAATCGGCTACTCACCGGGCCTCCCCTGTCGCTATATCAAAGCCGGCTTCTGGGTGGTCGAGTCTCTCGAGTGATCAGCTGACACGATCGGCTCGTGGAAATGGAAGTGGCCGCGCCTTACCACACACTGGGAACCAGCAACCACAGTCCATTTATCCCTCGGGAACTTTGATGAATGGCGGCAGACACGATATTCACCTTGATGAAAACACTAGGACTCCAGATGACCGCAAAAATCAATACATAACAGTATCTGCGGCACCCAAGAATACGGCAACGCGATTAAATAGTCCCCATTCCATGGGTCCTGTTCTAGATGGCCGAAATATTGTTCAGCATGTTGAGGAAAAACCTGCCAGAGGTTGTGATAATGTTGGCTTGATTACTCTCTGATTTCTACTTGCTTCACCATTTGTCTGATTGATCTCTACCTGCGCCTTTTCCCATTCCAAGACCCACCAAACTATCAGGCCGTATACTATTCCCGTCCAGTCTAGCAACTTTCTTTCGCTTGCATCTGCCTTTCACTTATCAATTACCTCTTAAATTTTTCTCATCTTCATCCATTCCATGTATATAATTACACATCTATGAATATGTATTCGCTAACTCTACCTAGTCTCCTAGTCTCCTGTTGTTCTTGTGCTCTCGTTGTTTGCTAGAGTTTGCTTCCACAGGCTTCCATGGTCT